ATGCCTTCATTCATTCATTGAACAGGAGTACAGAGTCCAAACCAGGGCTGACAGTCAGCTGGTCAGCTCGTTTAAATTATTGACAAACTTCCAAATCAGTTGGTAAATAGCTGCTATCTCAGGCCCCTAAGTGTTTCCAGTTCCTCCCATCTAGCATTGCAGCTGCCCTGACCCCTCCCCGGGACCCCCACCATTCTTCCCCACTCTTCAGCAACTGAAGGGTTAACCTGCAGTCAGGACATTCCAGAAGCAATTGCGTGTCACAGAGAGAGGTTGTGAAGGGTGCAGGGAGAATCACATCCCTGTTGCCACCCTGTCTGGCTGGTTTTGGCCTCTGGAGGCTCTGCCCAGCGTCCTCCCTGCCCCTACCACCTCTCAGACTTTGTCAGTGTCTTTCTCCCCTGATCTATTAACCTGAATTCATTTTCTCCCTCACCATTCCCACAGCCACTGCAATCACGGATGATCTATTAATCACAGTCATTACAGCCGTTACTGCAATTATTATTGCGCCTTCAACTTAAGCCATTTTGTACAAGGAGAAGATGATGCCACTTAAGTAGGGATGAGAGAGCAGCTGGTTCTTACTCATGAAAAGAAGTGGAGGTGCCCTGGCTGGGTAGCTCATTTGGTCAGAGTGTCGCCCCCCCCACACCAAGGTTGTGTGTTCGATCCCCGGTGAGGGCGCATATAAGAATCAACCAATGAACGCATAAATAACTGGAACAACAAATCTATGTTTCTCTGTCTCTCCCCCGACCCCCTCTCTAAAGTCAATAAATAAAAAGTTTTTTTAAAAAGAAATGAAGGATCTTCTTCCATCCTTGCAGTCAAGGAATGGGCCTCTCATTTGGTAATGAATGGTGGGGGAGGGGCAGAGGAGTGGATTCAGAGATGAGTGCCAGCTAGTGGTGAGAAACGTCTATACTTAAAAGTAGCTTTCTGCTCTGAAAGGCAGTTATTTCCCTTCCATTTTACAGAAAACTAAGACTTACAGAATAGTTGTGAGGTTTACACTGGACAGTGTGGATAAAGCATCTGACACAACCTAGCGCCAACATCAGGCCTGCCCTGTCCCAGCCTGACCGGGAAGCAAGAACTGACGGCTCTGCAGGGAAAGAAGAGAGGCCGGGCTCTTGCGACTGAATCCAGTTCCCCCGTTCCCTCCCCTCTCCATTTCTCATCCCCAAGCAGCCACATGCTCCTCGCCCCGTGGCCCTGAATCGATGCTGCACTCACAAGCATTTCTCTGGAAGATGGGGACAAGGTCATCTCAAGCCCTGCTCCCTGCACCCCACCCCCGTCTGCCAGGCTTACAGCTGAGAATGAGCCCCTTGGTCCATGACTCAAGGTAGCCCCAGAATCTTTAAAGCTGAACTTTCTAGAAATCCCTGAAACCTTTCTGTTATGTTGCCTCAGGCTCAATGTAGGGAAGGGAATCTCCCGATGACAAAAAAATATTTCCTTACTATATCTATTGAGCACTTACTCTTGCCAGGCACCATGCTGAGGCCCCCATCTTATAGCATCTCATTTAATCCCCACAGCAACCCAATGAGGTAGGTGCCAACTTGACCTGACAAGGAAATCGAAGCATAGTAAAGTAAGCCACCTGTCCAGGGTCACACAGTTAGTAAATGATGGAGCTGGGACAGGATCCGGGAGATCTGGCTCCAGAACCAGATCCAGAACCCCTTGCACACTGCTGCGGCTCCATCTGCTCCTGGCTGGGTCCCTGCCGTGCCCCGGTGGGCTGGTCAGTCTCAGGACGGGCTGTTGTCTGAGCTCCACTCCGTGCCCCCTCCTCAAGCCAGACCCTCCTTCTCTTTCACCGCCCACTGGATGACGTTCGTCCATTGTCACTGATAACCCTGAGGTCCACAGGCATGGCCTCTCCCAACTTCCTGCCCAGATCCACCGACGGACCTGTCCAGCTGGGAGATCGCCTGCACCCACATGCAGCCAATCTCCAGAGACAGGAGTGCTCTTGTCCACTGTCTACAATTTATCCCTTTGCTCAAGTCCAGACCTGCTGCCCTGGGACATCGGGGCGCTAATCTCTCCTTGGTCTTTTCACCGCTCCCTCTTCACTGGATCTTTTTCTTTCCTGTCTTAGAGAAATCCTCTATTTGTCTCACCCAGTTGTGCACTCCCCAATAGGACAAAAATCCAGATTCAGTTTTGTGAGAGCCAGGGGCTTTCTTGATCTGGCTTTTTTCCAACGTCTCTGGTTGCTTCTCTCATTATGCCTGCTTATTCCTGGTCCTCATCTGCAAATGGCCTAACAAGAATCCCTAACTCACAGGAGGATGAAATGCTTTAGTGGATGGCAAGCATTTAACATAGTTCCCAACACAAGGTACATTATTTTCAAATAATGTTGGGGATAATTATTCCTGTGAAGGTGGAGGAATCTTGGTGGGCTTCACAGAGGAGGTGGTGTCTGAGCAAGCCCTTGACAAATGGAGAGGAGGTGGATGTGTCTTGTTGTGGGGAGCAAGAATGCAGGCAGGAGAAATGGCACAGCAAAGGCATGTGGAAGTTGGCGCTCACACCCTGGGTGGCTCAGATTGGCTGGGTCCAGAGGTTGTGGAAGAGAATAGGCGAGGATAAAATTTGAAAATGCAAAGCTAACCTGAGTTTGGTCTTTGGTCTGTGAACAGTGGGAGGCCATGAAAGATACTGGGAAGGAATGATTAACTCAGTCACCATTATCTTGCTCAACTTTTGCATCAGCTCCTAAATTCCAACCTCCTCTCTGAGCCCACAAGGCCAGAGGGGTCTTTTAGAAACCATTCCTTTGCATTAGCCTTACATCTTCACTGGCTCCCACTGCTCCTCGGGGAATAACCCACCTCTTCCCTGTGCGGGCAGAGCCCCGCGTGGCCTGGCTCCACCCCCCTCCTCCTGCTCACCCTCTCAGCTCCATCCACACTGGCCTCTATCTAGCGCCTCCTGCTCCCCTCAGACAATGATATATTGCACACCTACCCATTTGCCATGCAGGGTCTCCCTCAGAGGCTTTGCATGTACTGCCCGGAATAGTCTTCTTTCTTTTGAAAGACGTATATTTAAGTCTTCCTCAGCCTTCACTTCTCAGTCTAAATGTCCTTCCTCCAGGAAGCCTTCTCGGATTCCCCCCTTTTATAAGACCTCATAGCACCAGGTACCTCTTTTTTGTATCACTCCCCACAGTTGCAAATTTACCTCTATTGGGGTGACCCCAATGGAGGCCAGCCTCCCCACCAGGCCCGAGTCTCTGTGGGTAGGAGCTGGAAACCCCTTGCACACTGCTGCAGCCCAGACGCCAAGCACAGGGCCTCGTGTAAATATATCTGTGGAGTAAAACTGTGGTTTGGAGGATAGAATGGAGGTGAAGAGAGCTTGGGGCCGGGGGGTCTTCAGGAGGCTGGAGTCATGGCTTCTGTGAGAAGTGGTGCCTGGAACTAGGGCAGGGACAAAGGACCAAAAGAGGGGAGTTGCAATGGAATTGACTAGGAGCGGAAACTGATTAGTAGGGTGGGGCGGGAGAGGACTTGCGAGAGAGCAGGAGGACTCCAGGTTGTTGCCAGTAACTGGGGCTTGGGCAAGTGCAAGGTCAGGAGCAGACCTGGGGAGTCAGAAGCTATGGTTTGGAGCACAGAGTTTGGGTGGCCCTGGGACAGGACAGTGGGGCTGGCGCAGAAGAAGCTTCAAACAGGGAACCTGGGGTGAGGGCGGGAGGGGGTTGGTTAGGCTTCTGAGAGGCGAAGAGGACAGAACTGTGCGGGGGTGCGGGGGCCCACATGGGGAGCACAGAGAGGGGCAGCGTAGCTTCTCTGAACTTTAGTTTCTTCAAAAGTGGGCAACACTTCAAAAGTGGGATACCGGGTTAAACTGGATCACCCCTTGCTCTCCTGTGTATTTTATTTTAGACATGTTCATAATAAAGAGTTAAAACAGTTAAAAAAGAGAAAGTGGGCAGCACTGCCAACCTTGTGGGATGACTTGAGTCTAAATGAGATCATTTAGGTACAGTCCTGAGCGAGCTGCCTGGTACAAAATAAGGATACAATCAATCATCATTGTCATATCATCATCATCATCAAGGTACTTGGCTACATTTCCATTCTGAACTCAGGGGTCTCAAACAATCAGAAAGTAAATAACCAAATACGTGGCCTGAGGCAGGCACAGCTTTCGTGGACCCCTGCCTGCACCTGTCCTAGATGTCTCAGAAACATCAGGAGCTCTGGGGCTGGGGGTCATGGGCCAGCCCTTGCCAGCAAGCTGACAAGGGCGCCATCCCTGGCCCGGGCACAAGGCCACCATGGAATCACCTGGGACACACCACCTACTGAGCCTCCCAGGGTCTCCCAGGATGCTCTCTGTCTTTAGAGCCCTCACCCCTCCCTCACCCACCCGGCTTCACCACGTTACACAGGGGCTGCTGTGAAGTCAGATGTGGCTCCCCGCCCCCCAGGCCCAGCCTTCCTGGTTCAAAATCAAGATGCCCGCCTTTCTGGTGTGATCTGGGAAGTGGGCTTGGCTGAGCAAGGAAGTGGCTCCTGGGTAGGAAGGACCTGGGATTTTTTTTCTTCTGTGGCAAAATGGGGCTCACAGAGAGAAGGAGGCAGGCCCACTGGGCCATAGAAAAAGCCACAGGGACTGCCTTGGCATCTCGGTGCAGCCAAAGCCGTGAGCCTGGGCCTGGGTTCTGGAGGGGCCCAGCTTATCTGCTCCCACCAGCTCAGTGTAGCCGGGACCTGGCCCGCCGTCTCAGGCCCTCGGTCGCCACTGTTCCACCCCGTGGTTCTGTGATCCTGCCTTGTTCGGTTCTGCTTCCAGCTGTGCTCAGCCGGTGAGGGGCAGGCTGGGTTGGCGTCCCAGCTCCCTGAGTCCAGGCGGCTGGAGCGCTGGCCGCAGTGGGGACCGGGTGTGTTCTGGAGGCCCAGGCCAGGGGCCCCCACAAGGCGGCTGAGGACAGCGTTCCTGAGGTCTCTGCCACCCTCTCTCTGCAGTCGCGAGGTAGCGTGCAACAGGGGGACCTGGACGGGGCCCGGAGGCTGGGCCGCCTGGCCCGGATGCTCAGCATCAGCTTCATCATCATAGGCATCGTCATCATCATTGTGGCCGTGACTGTCAACGTCACAGGTGAGGGCCGGCCACATGCCAGCGTGTTGGCTCCAGGGACGGCCACCGGGGTGGCCTGGCCCCCTGGGCAGGGGTGGTGGCGGGAAGGGAGGAGCCCGTGGGGGCCACTGCCTATCCTTTCACTCCTGGAAAGTGACCCAGTCCCCAGCGGGGACCGGCTGAGTAGGCCTGGCTGTCCGACTGGCCTTGTGCCTGGAAAGCAGACTAAAAGGAGAGGGTGGAGGGAGCGCGCAGGCCTAGGAGTCAGGGGCTCTCGTAGCCCTGGGTCCCGAGCCAGTGTCTGTCGAGCTGCACCACAGGGGTTTCATGTCTAAAGCAGTAGGAAGAAGCCTCCAGCAGAGGCTTTTGTGAGTGTCACCCGAGGTAATGGGTGTGGCCCTGTGTAAACTATGGGCTTGTCACAGAATGTCCATGCCAAGGCAGCCAGGACAGGTCAGAGGTGGACAACGCATACAGTGGAAGTCAGAAAGTAACACTTGTGTGAGCACCCAGAGGCGACCCAGGAAGTTATCCAAGCAGGGGAACCGCTGTCCGCTGTCCGAGGTGACTCCCAGCTGCTCACAGGCCCACACTGCTTCGCAAGTCTCTGGGCTGTGACAGGTCAACGTGGTCCGCCTCCCTCTCTTCACACTCTCCCGCTGGGAAGCCCCCAGGGATCTCCGCCCCTTGCAGTGACCAACCTGAGCTTTTCCCCAAAGACCTTGCTGCTCCAAATGTGCTCCATGGACCACAGCAGCAGGCCGTGGCTGCTGACCCCAGAAACGTGTCAGAAATGCAGAGTCTCAGACCCCACCCTAGACCCACTGAATCAGAATCTGCATTTTACTGAGATTTCCAGCCCAGTCATTAACTTTGGGAGGCACTGGTCTAGACTATGGAGTGTCCAGCTTGGGGCAGAGAGCCTGGAGTCCCGAGCAACCCTGGGCACTGAGGAGAAGGGAGAGGTCTGTAATCAGCCTGTCTGGGTTCGGGAGCCCCACCCTCCACGTCCTACCTGCTGGGACTGAAGCGTGTTCCATGGTCTCTCTGAGCCTGATAGACATGCAGGTACCGGAGAGGCAGGAACTCACTCACCTGGGGCGTTAGCCTCAGTCTCCTCTGTCCTGCTGCTGCTTGTCATCTTAGCCATGACTCTTTCGATGGCATGTGACAACTATTGTTTACCATCACAATGGTAAAGGGAACTGGTTAGCTTGAATCGAGAAATTCAAGCATCGATGATTCCATGTCCGGGGGTCCCACGCCCAGCTCTGAACCAGTCATCCAGGCCACAGCCCTCCCACAGACAGGGGTTCAGTTCCACTAAGAGCCCCAAACCATTCCCACTGCCATTTCCCACGGGGAAACAAAAACCCAAGTCCTCCATTCAGGGACCTGAAGACCCCACGTTCTGAGCTCTGTTCTGCCGTCATTGTTCTTTTCTTTACAGTTCAGAAGAAATAGAAGGCACAGGCCTCTGCGCTGGCGGAGCGTACCCGCGGGAGTGCACCCAACCCACACACCCCACATGCCATGGAGGACAGGGCGGTGACTGCCAAGGGCCCGCTTGTCCCCACGCTCCAAAAGCACAAACTTGGAGGGAAACCCCCAAGTCACTCCATTGTCAGACCACGTCAGATGGGAAAAGCCAGAGGGAGGAAGGAAGGAAACTAAATTTACTGTGAAACCACTGAGGAACGTGTTTAATCTTATGGACTCAGCCTGGCATTTTGACCCCAGTGTTCTGGCTTCTTCCTCATCCTCACAATTTCCTGGCATCTACTGAGCAGCATATACTGCCAGACGGAGAAGAAAGCGGCCCCAGGAACAGGTGAACGGTGGTGGGGAGAGAGGCAGCACACTTCCTGCATGGCCAGGAGTCAGACGTGGGACTTTCTTTATCTTTGTATTTTTCTTGAGGAGGGATTCGAAAGACTGCGTGCCTTGTGCCGCACACCTGCTGCCACCCCAGTGGGTGCCCTGACCTCAGAGAGACCGAGCTGACGCTCAGCACGTGCCCTGGCACCTCCGGCACACAGATGTGCCGCTGCCCTGCAAGGAGGCGACAGCCACACCTAGATCCCCCCTTGCAGGGTGGAGGCACCCAGAGGAATGCTGGTGAAGACAGCAGGAGGGACGGAACGCCCCATGGACCACCTCCCGACCTTTTCAGCCTCGGGAGCATCTCTGCCCAGAACTACGGTGCCAGCAGGTCTCCCAGGATGACTCAGTTGGCCTTTTCCTCTCTACCTGTGCTGTAGCCTGGAGCACCAACCAAGAGCTCCTAGGGCCCTGATCTTTCCACCCCTCCTGACAGCCAGCGAGGACCCCGGGCCTGAGCTCTCTCCTGCTCCCCACGGTCTGGGGTGCCAACTGGGGGCCCCTGAAGAGTGGCTCAGATGGAGCGCGGGCGAGCTCCCAGCCCCACCTCATCTGATGCTCCTGTGCTCCGGGTGGTCCTCAGACAGCAGAGGCCTTCCCTGGAGGAGGCTTCGGGATCAGTCCTGGAATGCCTCCCATGAGCTCCCACACCATTAGCAGTGTTTGTGCTGCCTGGAGGGGAGTTGGCCAAAGGGTTTTTGTGACGGTTTATCATTCTTTGGTCTAGAGAATTCCAAGACAGAGGGAAGAGCTTGGCTGAAGGGATCCAGCCTGTGGGGGAGGGAGGGGTCCTGGGCTTGGGAATACACTCACGTGGCAGGAGGCCGGGGCTGGACACCATGGCCTCTCTCTGAGGGCCTAATGGGATGCCCAAAAGGACCGAGCAGGGCCCCCGGGGCCTCCTGACTGGCGTCTGGCCCCAGATCCTCCCCAAGCTTCTCTCCGGTACAGGCTCTGCCGTCAGGGTGTATGCCCACCTTCCCCACTGGCTTTGGCTCCCAGACCCTCGAAGAGGCATCCTCCAGGCTTCCCCGCCCTGGGAGGCTCTGCCCATCAGCCAGGGTTACTGCACTCAGTGGGAGGGCAGGCTCCCGGCCACAGACAGCCTGGCCCCAGGTTGGCCAAGAACGTTTCCCCTGAGCCTGATTGCGACACTCATGCCTTTCCTTGGGGTCCCTACCAGCCTCTCCCACCCTCTGCATAGGCCCCTGGGAGCACAGAAGCTCCGTCTTCCAGGAGGGCTCCGGGTCCTCCGTGCAGTCCTTGGGGGCCACTGGGAGGGGGTGTGCGGAGGGACCCCTCCGGGCAGGCTCTCCTGAGTCAGTCCCCCGACCAGGGAATAAACTCTAGCCTCCCTGCTCCCTAAAGGAGGGGCTGGTTGGGTTTGCTTTATAGGAACTCTGAGGCCAAAGTAGAGATGCCCTGTTGGTTGGGGAAGTCTAGGGGTGACCCAGAATATTGGTGTCACTTGCAAGGTCAAGTCAGGTCAGGCCACGGGAGATGGGAGCCTCAGCTCTGGAAGGAGGGGTCAGCAGTTGCAGGCCCCCCAGCAGGCCCCAGGGGTCCTCATCTTCAGGGTTTCGGGGAGAGGAGAGAATGGCACCGGGCAAAAACGACGGCAGGGTTGGGAATCTGTCTACAGCACGGGTGGTGCTGGGCCCAGCACGCACCCAGACCCGCCTGCCCCGCAGTCACACCCCCGTGCAGACCGGCCTTGCACTAGCTCCCACGCATGCTCATGCTCGTTCACACTCAAAACCCAGAACAGGTGGGAGAGAAGCCCCAGGAACAGGCACAGCTGGAACATTCCTCCATTCAGGCAAGAACGACTCAGGATTTCTCTAGCCGTGCCCAGGGCGTAGCTCAGAGGTTTCTGAGGCGTGTGGAAGGTGGGGAGGCCCCCAAAGACCAGTTCCTCTGACAGAGAGGAGCCCAGGCCGAGGATGAGAAAGCTTCACAGATAAGACCAGGAGGGAGGGTCCCCACTGCCCCCACCCCACAGGCAGCCTGGCTCCCCCAGGCCTCGCTGAAGCTGGAAGGACCAGTGGCCCTGCTGCCCCCGCTCCGTTGCGGGCCGGCCGCTGGCTGCATGAACACTGGCCTCCTGGTACAGCTCAGGGCGCTATCCCGGCCTCTCCTTGTGTACCGTGGGGAGCAGCAAGGACTAGCCCTCCCTGCCGCCACACCACACTCTCCAGTTTGCTCCTCTGTATTTCTCAGCATGGAAAGAAATAAAGCTGCGGCCATACATGCACCTCAGACCTGTGTGTTCATGCTCCCAGGGCCAAGGGGCTCCAGACGACTGCTGGGGTGGGGGTAGGCGGTTCTCTCAGGGCTCAGGGCTGGGCCCAGGGAAGCTGGGGCACCGTGGCCAGTAACAGGCATTGTTCCGGGAGAGTCAGTGGTCCTCCCCGGGCCTCAGTTTCTCAGGTGAGTAAGGCTGGTCCCATCTTCCCTAGGTGGTCCTCTCTGCGTATGAACGAAGATCTCTGGAGTGGAGAGAAGAGGGCAGGAACCAGGCACTTGCCGATAGCCTGGTGCACGCCGGGCATTTAACGTACTTTGGTAAACCCACAAGGTGGTCCAAGGGAGTTACTAGTGTTATCCAGGAGTTCAAACTGGTAAGCTGAGGCTCAGAGATGTTCAGGGAATGGTCCCAGGTCCCCCCATGCCTGGCACACGGAAGTCACTGAGTGGGTGCTGGTGAACTGGCCCCATGCCTAGGTCGGACCACCACATTGGCTTCTTGCTGCCCTGCTGCCGCCCAGAGAGGGAAGCCCTATGAAAGGGAGGTGAGAGAGAGGTGTATGTGGGGGGAGGGGGGGACCCATTTCTCAGGCTGCAGAATGAAGCAGGCGGGGGCTGCTTGGCTGTGGAAGGGAGCAAGGACCTCAGAAAGGCAGGCCAAGGGGGCAGGTGGGTGTGGGCAGAACCACCAGGCTGGGCAGAGAGCGGGAAGGGAAGGAACTGCCACACAGCCATGATGAGCTGCCAGCCCTGAGGGCGAGAGGATGCGGGGGGGGGGGGGGGGGCGGGGTGGGGTTGGAGGGGGAGGAGCGAGGAGGAGCGAGGGCTGAGGGCTGAGGGCTGAGGGCTGAGGGCTGGCGGGGAGGGCAGGGAGAGGCACCGGCCCGAGAGGCAGAGAGGCAGTGCGGCAGAATGGTCAGTGTGTGGGAGCCGGGGCCAGCCGGCCTGGGTTCAGGTTCTGCCGCCTTCCTGGCCAGGCGTTAGCGGAGTCCTCTGGGGGAAATTCCTGTCAACCAGGACAGGTGCCAGGGAGCACGTCCCGTGTGCCATGCGCTGGGCTCTGCGGTCTGGGCAAGTTATTTAGTCCTCACAACACCTCGTGAGGGGCATCATCCCACTCTCCTGAGAAGAAAATGAAGGTTAGAGAGGCCCAAGGACTGGCCCAAGGTCATACATCAGGATGCAGTGAAGCAGGAGAGTCCTTCTCAAATGCTTTGGTGACAGGAGCCTCCCTTGCCTTAAAAAGTCTGTGAGCTATTCCAGGAGAGTGGGCCATGTCATTGTCCTTTAACTGCTCACCCTGGCAGGTAACAGTCATATTTCTCTACAGCTTTTCCTTTCCGTGCTGTACTGAGGCCTTTTCAAAGGCATTTGAAGCACCACCTGATGAAACGTCACCTGTGTAATGCTACCAATTTAATAACGCTGAGGTGAACTGCCACCTTCTCTACACATGGGCAGTACCAGGGACGATCGCATCACTTTCCTGCCCAGCTTGGTGGCCTGAATGTTTTATTGGCGTCATTTGTCAGACACAACCCAACTTTAGAAACTTTAAAATGGGGAAAGGAGGCTAGGCATGTCTTAGAATCAGTACGGGAAAAGTTGGAGCTTCCATAATGCAGGACGTTTCAAATGACAGGCGGCTGTGCCCTGCGACAAGCAGCCTGTCCTCTCTCTCACTTTGACTCCCTACCTGCAAATGGGGTACTAATCTGCGTTGCCCCCACAGGGCTGGGGGAGGCCTCATGGCACTTCCTGGTGAACCGTGAGGGCTGGAGACACGAATAACAATTTCTTGGGGCTCAGCCCGAAGAGCACCTCAGAATCAGAGAGGTTCTGGGCACACCAGGTGACCCTGGAGCTCCTGCCCTCCTCCATTTCCAGCCCTCCCGATGCCGGACAGAGGGCAGGGAAGCCCTCTGGCCCAGGCCGTGAGCCTGTCCCTGGGCCTCCGTCTCCTCAGGCAGAAGCGTGAGCTAAGCCGGTCCAGAGCAGCCTTCTCCACCGTGGCTGAACATGGGAATCACCTGGGAACCTTGAAAAATGCAGATGTCTGGCTGCCTCTCCCCGAGAATCTGGTTTAAGCCATCAGGGGTGTGGCCTGAGCATCCGGTTTTTGAAAAGCTTTCCAGGTGATTCCAGCCGTCATTTGAGGTTAGGAGCCTCTGGGCTAGACTCTCCAGTCTTGCTACTCAAAGTGTGGTCCCTGGACCATTAGCGTGGGCGTCTCTGGAGCTGCCAGAAATGCAGAAACTCAGGCCACACCCTGTCCTAATGTAATGACTTGGAATGTCTGTCCTTTACCTAGGTCCGAGGGTGGTTCGCTGCACTTTCAAGCAGCGGAAGCTCCTGGCTGGGCGCCTGAAGCTGGAGGCCCTGCTCCACCAGGCCCTGCGGCAGGCTTGCCTTAGGCACGCCTTCGTCCCTGGGTCTGCCATCTCCTTCCTAAAAATCATCACTGTCCTTTCTTTCTTTCTTACGTGTTCTATTGTAACAAACTGAAAAAAATCTAGGCAATACGGAGAAGCAAAGAGAAGGACAAAGAGATACCCCGCAGATGTTCAGGGGCTCTCATAGCAGAAAAGGTCTGCACCCCACTTCCAAGAGTGTTTGCCAGTGAGGCTGTAGCGCGCGCGTGCGTGCGTGCGTGCGTGTGTGTGTGTGTGTGTGTGTGTGTCGGGGGGCGGGGTGCCCCCAAAGCACAGTTCCCAAGGAAGCATGGATTTCCCCCATCCCGAGCCTCTGGACCCCCACTATGGACCCGCTGGAACCTGCTCAGACGTG